CCCCCCCCCCCCCCCCCCCCCCCCCCCCCCCCCCCCCCCCCCCCCCCCCCCCCCCCCCCCCCCCCCCCCCCCCCCCCCCCCCCCCCCCCCCCCCCCCCCCCCCCCCCCCCCCCCCCCCCCCCCCCCCCCCCCCCCCCCCCCCCCCCCCCCCCCCCCCCCCCCCCCCCCCCCCCCCCCCCCCCCCCCCCCCCCCCCCCCCCCTTTTTTTTCCCCCCCCCCCCCCCCCCCCCCCCCCCCCCCCCCCCCCCCCCCCCCCCCCCCCCCCCCCCCCCCCCCCCCCCCCCCCCCCCCCCCCCCCCCCCCCCCCCCCCCCCCCCCCCCCCCCCCCCCCCCCCCCCCCCCCCCCCCCCCCCCCCCCCCCCCCCCCCCCCCCCCCCCCCCCCCCCCCCCCCCCCCCCCCCCCCCCCCCCCCCCCCCCCCCCCCCCCCCCCCCCCCCCCCCCCCCCCCCCCCCCCCCCCCCCCCCCCCCCCCCCCCCCCAAAACCCCCCCCCCCCCCCCCCCCCCCCCCCCCCCCCCCCCCCCCCCCCCCCCCCCCCCCCCCCCCCCCCCCCCCCCCCCCCCCCCCCCCCCCCCCCCCCCCCCCCCCCCCCCCCCCCCCCCCCCCCCCACCCCCCCCCCCCCCCCCCCCCCCCCCCCCCCCCCCCCCCCCCCCTTTTCCCCCCCCCCCCCCCCCCCCCCCCCCCCCCCCCCCCCCCCCCCCCCCAAACCCCCCCCCCCCCCCCCCCCCCCCCCCCCCCCCCAAAAAAAACCCCCCTTTTTAAGGGAAAAAATTCCCCTTTTAAAAAAAATTTTTTTTGCTTTTTGGGGGGGTTTTTTTTTTCCCCCCAAAAATTTTAAAATTTTTTTTTTGGGGTTTTTATTTAAAAAAAAAATTTTTTTTTTTAAAAGGGGAAAGGGGGAAAAAAAAATTTTTTTTTTTTTTTTTTAAGGGGGGAAATTTTTAAAAAAGGTTTTTAATTTGGGGGGGGGGAAAAATTTTTTTTTTAAAATTTTTTAAAATTTTTAAAAATTTTTTTTTGAAAATTAAAAAAATTTTTTAAATTTTTTAAAAATTTTTTAAAAAAAAAAAAAAATTTTTTTTTTTTTTTAAAAAAAAATTTTTTTTTAAAAAAAAAAAAAAAATTTTAAAAAAAAACCTTTTTTTTTTCTTTTAAAAAATTTTTTGGGGGGAAAAATTTTTAAAATTTTTTTAAAAAACCCCCCTTTTTTTTTGGGGGGGGGGGGGTTTTTAAAAAAAAATTTTTTTTTTTTAAAATTTTTAAAAATTTTTTTTTTTAAAAAAAATTTTTTTTAAAAATTTTTCCTTGAAATTTTTTTTTGGTTTTTTTTTTAAAAAAAAAATAAAAATTTTAAAACCCCCTTTTTTTGGGGGAAAAAAAAAATTTTTTTTTTTTTAAAAAAAAAATTTTTTTAAAATTTTTTTGGGGTTTTTCCCCTTTTTTTTAAAAAAAGGGGGAAAAAATCCCGGGAAAATTTTTTTAAAAAAAATTTAAAAAATTTAAAAATTTTTTTAAAAAAAAAAATTTAAAAAAAATTTTTTTTTTTTTTTTTTTTTTTTGGGGGGGGGGAAAAAAGGGGGGGGAAAAAAAAATTTAAATTTTTAAAAAAAATTTTTATTTTGGGGGGGGGTTTTTTTTTTTTTAAAAAACCAAATTTTAAATGCTTTTTAAAAAAAAAAAAATTTTTTTTTTTTAATTTTTGGAAATTTTTCCTTTTTGGTTTTTTTTGGGGGGGGGGAAAAAAAAAATTTTTTGGGGGTTTTTTTAATTTTTTTGGGGGTTTTTTACCTTTTTTTTTAAAATTTCCCCTTTAAAATAAAAAATTTTTTTTAAAAAATTTTTCCGGGGAACCCCTTTTTTGGGGGGGGGGGGGTTTTTTTTTTTTTTTTAATTTTTTGGGGTTTTTTTTTTTTTTTTTTTTTTGGGTTTTTTTTAAAAAAAAAATTTTTTTTTTTGGGGTTAAAAAATTTTAATTTTTTTATTTGGGGGGGCCCCCTTTCCCCCTTTTTTTTTGGGGGGGGGGTAAAAAATTTTTAAAAATTTTTTTAAAAAAATGTTTTTTTTTAAAATTTTTTTTAAAAATTTTTTAAAAAAGGTTTTTTTAACCCAAAAAATTTTTTTTTTTTCCCCAAAAAAAAAATTAAAAAAATTTTTTTTGGGCCCTTTTTTTTTTTTTAAAATTTTCCAAAAACCCCCCCCCTTTTGGGAAAGGGGGGGGTTTTTTAAAAAAAAAGTTTGAAAATGGGGGGGCCCCCCCCCAAAAAAAAAAAATTTTTTTGAAAAAATTTTTTTTTTTTGGGGAAAAAAACCCCCCCCCCCCCCCCCCCCCTTTTAAAAAAATTTTTTTTTTTTTCCCTTTTTTTTTTTTCCTTGAAAAACCAAAACCCCAAAATTTTTTTTTAAAAAAAATTTTTTTTTTCCCCCCTTTTTCCCCCAAAAAAAAATTTTTTTTTTAAAGGGGGAAAAAAAGGGGGTTTCCTTTTTTTTAAAAGGGGTTTTAAATTTTAAAAAAAAACCCCCTTTTTGGGGGTTTTTTTGGAAAATTAGGGTTTTTTTTTGGGGGTTTTTTTTTCCCCCTTTTTTTTTTTTGGGGGTTTTTTAATTTTGGGGGAAATTTTTAAATTTTTTAAAATTTCCGTGGAAAAAAAAAAAAAAACAAAAATTTTTTTTTTAAAAAAATTTTTTTTTTCCCCCAAAAAAAAAATCAAAAAAATTTTTAAATTTTAAAAAAAAATTTTTTTCCCAAAAATTTTTTTAATTTAAAAAATTTTTTTTTAAATTTTTCCCCGGGGGCCCCCCCGGGGGGGAAAAAAAAACCTTTTAAAAAAATTAACCCCAAAAAAATTTTTTTTTTTTCCTTAAATTTTTTTTTAAAATTTTAAAAAAGGGGGAAAAAAGGGGGGGGGGGAAATTTTTTAAAAAAAGGGTTTTAAAAAAATTTTTTAAAAAATTTTTTTTTTTTTTAAAAATTTTTTAAAAAATTTAAAAATTTTAAAAATTTTTTTTTGTTTTTTTTCCTTTTTTTTAATTTTTTTTTTTAAAAAAACTTTTGGGGGGTTTTTTTTTTTAAAAAATTTTTCTTCCTTTTTTTTTTTTTTCCCCGGCCCCCGGGTTATTTTTAATTTTTTAAGGGGCCCCCAAAAAGGGGGGAAAAAAAATTTTTTTTTTGAAAAAACCCGGAAAAAAATTTTTTTTTAAAAAAAAAGGTTTTTTTGGCCCCCAAAAATTTTTTAACCCAAAAAAGGGGGGGGCCCCCCCCAAAAAAAAAAATTAAAAAAAAACCCAAAAAAAAAAATTTTTTTTAAAATTTAAAATTTTTTTTTTTTTTTTAAAAAAAACCCCCCCCCCTTTTTAAAGGGGGAAAATTTTTTAAAAAAATTTTTTTTTTTTAAAAATTTTTTTTTAAAAAAATTTAAAAACCCCCCCCCAATTTTTTTTTTAAAAAATTTTGGTTTGGGGCCCCCCCAATTTTGGGGGGGGGAAAGGAAAAAAAAAAAAATTTTTTTTTTTTTAAAAAAAATTTTTTGGGCCTTTTTTTAAAAAATTTTTAGAACGGGGTTTTTTTTTTTTTTCCCCGGGGGTTTTTTTTTTTTTTTTTAAAAAGGGGGGGAGGGGGGGGCCCCTTTTTTTTTTTGGGGGTTTGAAAGGAAAACCCAAAAAAATTTAAAAAATTTTTTTTTAAATTAAAAACCCGGGGGCCCTTTTTTCCAAAATTTTCCCAAATTTTTTAAAAATTTTAAAAAAAAATTTTTTTTAACCCTTTTTCCCTTTTTGGGTTCCCGGGAAAAATTTTTTTTTGGGTTTTAAAAAAATTTTTTTTTAAAAATTTTTTTTTTTTTTTTTTTTGGTTTTAAAAAAAAAATTTTTTTTTAAATTTAATTTTTAAAAAATTTTTTAAAAGTTTTTTTTTTCCCCCCCTTTAAATTTTTAAAATTTTTTTTAAAAAAAAAAATTTTTCCCTTTTTTAAAAAAAATTTTCCCCCTTTTTTTTTTTTGGGGGAAAAATTTTTTTTTTTGGGGTTTTTTGGGTTAAAAATTTTTTAAAAATCCCGGGGTTTTTAAAAAAAAACCCCCCTTTTAAAGGGGGGGGGGAAAAAAAATGGAAAATTTTTTTTAAAGGGGGGGGGTTTTTTAAAAAGGGGAAAAAAATTTTTTTTTTTTTTTTTAAAAATTTTTTTTTTCCCCCCCCGGGTTTTTGGGGGGAAAAATTTTCCCCGGAACAAATTTGGGTTTTTTTTCCCCCAAAAAAACTTAAAAAAAAAAAAAAATTTTTTAAATTTTTTATTTTTAAAAGGTTAAAATTTTTTTTTTGGGGGGGGCCCCAAAAACCCCTTTTTAAAAAAAGAAGGGGTTTTTTTAAAAAAAATTTTTTTTTTTTTTTTAAAAAAAAAAATTTTTCCCGGGGGGGAAAAAAAAAAAAAAAAAAAATTTCCAAAAATTCCAAAAAAAAATTTTTTTTTGGGGTTTTTTTTTTTTTCAAAAAAAAATTTTTTTTTTTGGGGGGGGCAAATTTAAAAAAATTATTTTCCCCCCTTTTTAAAAAAAAGGGGGGCCAAAAAAAAAATTTAAAAAAACCTTTTGGGGGGTTTTTTAAAAAAAACCCAACCCAAAAAAAATTACCAAAAAAAATTTAAAAAAAAAGATGGTAGGAGTTATTATGATGATCTGGTTGTTTCTCCTCAGTTCCTTCCCACCTTCTGAAGCTATGCGTAAGTAATATATCAAGTAAATAATGTACGCGAATTTATTCTAAAATTAAATCGCATACACTATTTTGTATGTAATAGGGTAAAGCACATAATTTTGTCATTTTTGGTAATTTTCCGACTGCCTGATATAAACCATGGGTTTTAACCTCGTCTGAAATTCCGATTTAGATGAAACCTCCACCATGTTATAGTAGACAGTCTAGGCAAGTTCTAACACAAAAATGATCGAAATTGCTGGGGTTGAAGATGTTCAAAAACATTATTTTGAAAAAAATGACAAAATTAGGTGACTTTACTTAATTTTGTCACCCCGAACCTAATTTTGTCACTTGAAGATTGTGCAAAAAGTAACCGTTTCTCGGTATTTTAGACTACCTGGATGCATCATTCGAGCGCTTTTTTTACCAACATTGACCTCAAAAATCCCAAAGATATGATGTTTTCATAGTTTTGTAGCTTGATGAAAAGATGACACTTTTTGGGTATCTAATCTTAGAAAATAGCCCCCAAATGCCCCTGAAACCACTGGCATCTTGAAAACTTTCTATGAAGCATGAATCAATATTGGTTACTGATTCACGAAACTATATTTACCAATAGCTCTTTAAAACCCAGAATTACAGTATATTTCTCGGCGAAAATATGCTATTATAAGTGTTTAAATGCTATTATAAGTGCCTTATACATATCCTATGGGCAAAAAAACTTCAGAATAGTTGTATAAGGCCATTTTCAACACAATCTGTGATTTACAAGAAATTTGAGAAAGGTCGATTTTTTTGACAAAATTAGGTACTTTTGGCAAAATCGAACCTAATTTTGTCACCCTCTGTAACTCTAACAATAATTGCGCTAGAGACTTGAAAATTTGTACGTATACTTCTGCTGTAGAAGATATTTGAAATATGCAATGGCATGAAGCTAGCTCAATTACTTTTGAAATAGCAATAAATCAAAATTTTGAAAATTCCTTAAGAAAACTTTAAGGATCTTATTTATTTTTCGGGTTAACAGTTTCGCCTTCATTTTTGACACAGATGCAAAAGAGCTAGAAACTTAAACTTTGTAGGAGCAGTTTCAGCAAAGTCTAAGCTTTCTTTTTATACACAAACCTTTTCTTTCAAGCTGAAATTCCGAGCCGAGGCAGTTTTTCAGAGCAAAATGACAAAATTAGGTACCCTGACAAAATTACGTGCCTTACCCTATTTCAAAATCATCTCTTAGTTAGTATTAGTATTAAGTGACATGAAAAATTTGTCCTGTGAAACTGTCAACTCTATTTTTTCACGTATTTAACTTCAGACTACGAGGTTGAAGAAGGCATGATTTTCACGCTACACTGTAATTCCCACGCCTTCCTGGACATCACTTCTGTTAGATATTACTACCCAAACCTTTCATTATTATGCTATGACCCCAGAGCTTACTCTGTTACTGTCAGCCATTGCAACAACAGATTTCACTGTACAATCGACACAACTCCTGGTTCATTTTACCAAAATTCCTGCGATTACTCTTGGTATTCGAATATGCTAGAGGTAGTATTTTTATTAAATTATACATTAGGGTAACACTAACAGTAAGATAACTTAAACTACGCACCGCAGTAGTTTTGTGGAATTTTTCATGTATATGAGATTTTCGGAAGCTTTATTTAGCTATTTAGAGTACCAAAAAGTCCAAATATTACCGATTTAATCGAACATCGTCCATCAGTACAACTTTTTAACTCCTCAGGTGCACTATGATTGCAGCACCTGTGAAGAAGGTCACTACTTTTCACCTGGGTTAGGATGCAGGGTGTGTGAAGAGAGCACTTTCAGTCCCGGTGGGGTTCACTCCAACTGTGCACCCTGTCCTACTGGGAAAACTGTTCAGTCTGGTCTGGGATCTTCCTTGGGTGACTGCACATGGAGTTAGTAGTTTAACAGCTGATATTTCATGTTGAATTAACAATCTTCAAGATGAGCATATCGAGGATAAGACATTATCTGAAGTCAGATTATTTTCACATAATTTCTGTCCTCTTATTTCACAGGTCCTTGCAGTGGTGGTGAATATCTTGACCAACATACTGGGTGCCAGAACTGTGGGGAGTCGACTTACAGTTCCGGAGGAACAGCGACCTCCTGTGTGGGGTGTCCTGAGGGTACGTATGTAGCAGCAGGACAAGGAAGCTTGGAGACAGACTGCTGTAAGTCTATTTAACAGATGTTTTGTCTATTTAACAAAGTGATCAGTTATGGTCTGTAAGAAGCCTGCACTAATTTAAGCTGTTCATAAATTTAAGCCGTTCAGAAATCAGAAATTTAATCGTTCACCATTCAGAATTTTAGAATTTTTGTTGTTTCATTTCTTGAAACTAACCATTTTAAATCTGCAATCTGATAATTTTCCAGTTGATAACAGCGACAGCAGGAAAGAAGGAAGAGACAGACTTTTGCCGCGTACGTTAAATTTTCTAATTTTACGAATGAAAAGGATTCCCAGAAATTTTAAATGCAAAGCAGTCTCGAGGCTGGCTGCTTTGTCTTCATAATTTCTGTCATAACATAATATCAGTATCAAAAAGTTTGACGAAGGACAAAAACCAAGGTTAATTGCTTTTTTGGTGATTTTACGCGGTATATTTAAATTTTTATTCATTTTTGATACGGTAATAATTTATTAATACTGTTGATCGCTGTATTACCGCCAGTACGACATAACTTAATGAAATTTAAAGCTATCCATTGATTTTAAATATGATTTGGGCCAAGATTTTTCTATTCTTACCCCAAATAAGTCACTAAAAAAACAAGTTGAATATTTACAATTCTATTTATTTAAGCAATAACAAATTAAAAAGCGGACATATTTATTTTTATTTATAACAGTTTTGACAGTGTTAATATATTATAATTGCAGTTATTTGAATTGTTAAACTTTGTATAATAGAATTTCAATTTATTTAATTTTAGTTAAAACTGAAGTATTCAATTGTTTACCACCTTCATTCCCACAACATAATGAGAATCTCGCCAAAACATGATCACATGACTATTGTTTTTGCAGCATGGGTAGAAATAAAACTTCCAGCACCTCGATCGTGTCATAATATGCCATCTATAGTTGACTTACTAATTGGTTGCGGGTAAAAAAATCAATTAAAACTGTAAAATATCGGTCCTGAAAATTTCATCTTCAAAAACGGAAAATGGTTCAGGGGCCATCTATTTAGGACGTCCACCAAAATCACGGATTTTCAGACCTCGCCCTGGGTGTGTCCGAATTTTCAAAACCACCCTCCCCCGGAAGTCCGGACTTCCAGCTACTTTTAAGAGTAAAATTAAAACCAACTCAAATCCATTGTTAATAAAATGTGTAGTTACTTAAAATATACAATAATACACTTAGTGTCTAACAAGTTTAGCACAGTTACATTTAAGTACTTAGTCTTAAGTACTCAGTGGCGTAACGTTGCCTGTTGGCGCCCCCCTGCCGAAAAAGCGCCCCCCTGTTGGCGCCCCCTCCCCTTTTGGTGCCCCTCCCTTAAATTGAACAAATTAGGTGATTTTAGAGAATACGCCGGTAAAATCTTTAAAAAAGTGTGTATCTAGAGCAACACGCGCAGTTTTGCTAGTACTTTAGTTAAGTTTTCGAAATTGTCCCACATTCAAACGACGATTTGGCGCCCCCCTAAGACGGCGCCCCCCTGCACAGCGGGGTCAGCAGGGCCTTTCGTTACGCCACTGTAAGTACTAGTAGCAATCCAATCGAATAAGTTTTAAGGCAGTAGGAGAATATGCGAGATGTGTCTCGGCTCTCATGAGCTGCTCCATGGTGCATGGGAATCGACTTCTCGTTCAAAATACAGGGATCTAAACTTACAGAGTAATTAGTGTCAAAGAGTTGAATAAATGGGACTTTTTCGTTAATTCTGCAAAATTTCCGAACGTCCGCATTCTCAGAAACCACCCCCTCCCCCTGTCTGCATTTGTCCGATATTCCAAAACCACCCCCTCTCCCTATTTCAATTTGCCGGACGTCCTAAGTAGATCATAGATGGACCCCACAGAGATTGGGACAATATGATTTTGCGATTTTATTCGGGATTTTGACTCCCAGTACCCAGTACCTCAATTAAGTTGTATACCATCATCAATTAACTGACTAATTGGTTTCTGGGCCAAAATTTCATCCAATCTGTCAAATTTGTGTTCAAAAAATTTCATATTTGAAAATGAGACAGAATTTTGAAAATACATCTTTTTTAAGCTTTCTGCTGTGGGCTTTCTCCGACCGAAATCAAACTTCCATCACCTCAATCGTGTCATATGCCATTGTATCTATATTCTATAGATGACTTACTAACTGCAAACTGGTTGCGGGTAAGAAAATCAGTTAAAACTGTAAAATTTCTGTCCTGAAAATTTCATCTTCAAAAACTGAAAATGGGACAATATGATTTTGCAATTTTATTCGGGATTTTGACTCCCTGTACCTCAATTTTTGGTTTTACACCATCATCAATTAACTGACTAGTTGGTTTCTGGGCCAAAATTTCACCCAATCTGTCAAATTTGTGTTCAGAAAATTTCGTATTTGAAAATAATGGCATGGGACAGAGTTTTGAAAATGCAACTTTTCGTTTTGTTAAGCTTTCTGCTGTTGGCTTCCTCCGACCGAAAACAAACTTCCAGCACCTCGATCGTGTCATATGCCATCTATAGATGACTTACTATTTGGTTGCGGGTGAGAAAATCAGTTGAAACTGTAAAATTTCGGAAAATTCATCTTCAAAAACTGAAAATGGGACAGTGGACAGAGATTGAGACAATATGATTTTGCAATTTTATTCGGGATTTTGACTCCCATGCCAGTAGCTAAATTTGGTTTCATACCATTATCAATTAACTGACAAAAATTTCATCCAATCTGTCAAATTTGTGTTCAGAAAATGTCATGTTTGAAAATGGGACAGAATTTTGAAATACGCATTTTACCTTGATTGACGGTGTCAACCCATCGAGATCCAAGATCGTTGCTCTGCGATCGACGATGCTAGTTTGCGCAGCGCGTCGAAGCCCTCCAACATTTTACCCTATACTAGGTTATGGGATTCAGAATCAGCTTCCAAAACTACACTGATTACGATTACTTTCATACATTCAGGGCCTTTTTCACAAGAATTTTCTTAAAATTTGGGCGAGCGTTTTAGTGGGACTTGGAGCGCCTTATTACAGTGGAGTTCCCACCTACGAGTGGTGGCTGAGATGGCGCGGTGTATGCAGAGTATAATTATGTCAGGCGGGAACTCCACTGTAACCCAGGTAGGAAAATGAGGATTTGGGGGGGGGGGGGGGGGCAACCATATTAAAGTATATTAAAATGTAGGATTTTTCCCGATTTTGACCCGGGGATATACTTTAATATACTTTAATATACCTACAACATACTTTAATATATCCCTATCTCCTTGGAGGCCTACATCAAAAATTGTTGCCCAAAATAAGCTTGAAATGCAATCGATTCCAAAAAGTTCTTGAAAAAATATTGAAAACTGATGGAGCTATTTCAATTTTTATGAAGTCATTTTGGCTAGTCTTCCGAACCGAGATATTATGTGCAATTTTCCAAATTTTGTTCATGGAGGTCTTTTTACTTAGTATCCACTATATTCAACAAACACTGAGTTATATCTTTCACATAGAGTTAGTCTCATTAAAAAATATTGAAATTTTATCGAATTTGGGCAAAAGCGTATGCCCAAATATGGGCATATTTTTTTAAGCTCATAGCTCAGCCAATTTTTGACCAATCTGGATGGAAATTCATGTACTAGTCCTAAAACAGGCTTATCTTGCGAATCTGAGTGAAAAATATAGTTCATCATGTAAATCTTAACGAAGAATATAAATCTTCTAATTGTAGGTATATTAAAGTATATTAAAATGTAGGATTTTTTCCGATTTTGACCCGGGGATATACTTTAATATGGTTGCCCCCCCCCCCCCCCCCCCCCCCCCCCCAGAGCCCCAGGATTTAGTTCTTTTTATTTGGGTTATTTCGAAAAGTATTGTTTTGACTGAATGCGATTGCAATTGGAAAAGAAAAAACTGATAGTCAATTTTAAAATGCAAGCGTTTTGAAGTGTTAAAATGCACAATTTTTAAAATGTACAAAATCGACTACAAATTGATGGGAATGTCAACATTCAAAACGTTGTATTTAGCTTAAATAAATCGGCCAATATTTAGCTCAAACAAAACACATCATTTTGAACTCTCTTCAAAAAGAGCATCAAATTTTCCATAAAAATCTGCGTCAGAGGCAAAAAAGGAATAGTTACCGATTAATTTTGGTCATCAAATCGTAGGGTCCAATACGCAATAATTTACAAAATGCTACGAAAATTAAAATATATCCAATAAAGGAGACAGGTTGTTTAGAAATTTAATCACCACACATTTTATCATATTCAGATAGATTAAAAACTTCCCCCAACCCAACGTCATATTTCCTATTTCTCAAATCCAACTAGTTGTCAATATGTTACCACCCAAGAACATATCCCACCATTCTATACAAAATCCCTTCGTCCTTGCGAGGTAAGAGAGTCACATCTTGAGCTACCTGGATATTAATTAATTAATCAATTTATGACTGTCAACTTAAACAGAAAGGAGCTTGAAGAATGAAAATCAACAGTATACTCCAATCTGTCACGGTTAATTTATGGTTCTCTGTGGACTATAATGATGATCAAACTTGTTCAAGTCGCTGGCATTACACTGTACTAGTAATCAACAACCTAATAATAAGAGTAATAATATCTCGATAACTAACCTCGTGTGGTTTTGCGTGTCGTTTGGGTGTGTGTATTACTGAGGAATTTAAACTTTCCCCCGAACTTTTAATTCTCTGAAATGTGTACTGTTATTTGTGGCAGTCTTGATAATTGAACATCAGCCTACAGTGAGATTATCTACGATCAAAGGAGAAGGTTAACGAGTTAACAAGTCGTGACTCGTGGACCAGATTTGGTCGCAAACACACTTGATTTGCCATATATTATACTGCTGTGTAATATTGTGTGTTGCAATAAACTGATTAATGAGTCTCCCTGTTAGCCATGAAGTCTTCATATTCCCTAGTCTGCGGCAAACGTCCACCCTATGTTGACTAAAGGCCAACTAATTACTATGTTGCAATCGTCCATTTATGACGCTTACATCAATCAGTAATCGAGCAAACAGCCCAATGGTGCTCCAGGGTGACGAAGTGAATATCTGCATTCTTTACCCACTGCCCAGTTATGTGTTGCCCGTTTAGTAATTGTACCTACATGTAGTTATTTGCAGTGCACGATCCTTTCTGAACATGTAGTTACTCGCAGGATTTGATAATATTGCACATGAATCGTGTGATCAGATAACACGGTAGAAGAGTGCATCGCCGAGAATTTGTAGACAATTATTTCGGCTACACAGTTTATAACATGATTCCTTATTAGTTGTTTTGGCTGATTTAATCGCTTTTTGTAGATTAAAAAGTTCATGCTTTTTCTAATAATGACAAGTCATTCGTGAGACACCTCCTACGACAAAGGAAGAAGGTCTAGACAAAATCGCACACCAAGATATTAGATATGTGTCAGTTGTGTCTGGTTTTATAGAAAGGTACTAGTTCAAATTGAAAGCAACAAGCACAATTTACCGGCCGATATTTGAAATTCAAATAGAAACCAGCGCGCAATAAGCGCGCCTGAGAAAATGTGGGCCATGAAAACTGTATGGAAATATTTATTCCGCGCCCTACGTTTTAGTTGAAGTCAGATTAGCTCTGAGAGACCGTCGCTAAGCGTTCTATGTTTATCAGCACAATTTGAACAGATCATGCAAAGAAGATAAAATTTAACAAAAAAGCAGTATCTCGTTCGATTTTGTTAACTTAAGCGATACATCGGTCAAAATTACACAGATGAATTCTACAAATGGAAATTGGAACTACTAAAACAACTATTAACCCATAAGTTACTTACTTAATCACGAAAGAAATAATTACCTGATCAGTACATGGCACTACACCAATCATTATATCTCTGTTGAGAACAGACCCACTTCTACTCAGGGCCTGAAGTGATCATTATAAAAGTGCAGCTTAATCATTGTACAATTTGAAAAGCCTAGCACAGTTGTGGAATGTAGGCACGTAATAAACAAACTGACATCAACTCCCATCAAGTAAAATAATTTCATGGATAACTGTAGACGTGGCTGGGGAGCTGAAGATGGTGCAAGTTTGTTTTGACACGTGACAAAAATACAAGTACTTGATTGATTGCAGCTGCAATCTGATTCTAGCTATGGTTGTTCCATGTCGCAAGCTGATTGGTCTATCGCTGTAACGTGTAAAAACAAGCACACCTTCTTTGTCTATAATCGATATTATACTGACCTTTCTAGCTTGTATTTTAGATTCGAACATGAGATGCAGCCAATTCCCTTGTGATGGCTTTTCGAACTTTGTTATTTTTCCGAACTGCGAGAAATGCTGCAACACAGATTCTGACGAATTTGACGGAAATCTGAAACAATAAAATATGTCAAATCAACAGCTAGGGACCATTAAAACCATATTTTATCTGTCTGTCTGCGGCCTGCCTGCCTGTATTTTTGTCTGCCTGTCTGTTTGTCCCTCTGTTTGTCTGTCTGTTTGTCCCTATGTTATGTAACTTCTGTCTGTAACTTACCCGAACACAGTAACCCAAGTGTCCGGTAACGGTTCCTCGTACATACTCTCTCCAGCTAAAGTTCCTAATCTCCGGGCGGGGGACCTGGACCTGGCTCTGCTTCCTGGGGATTGTTGGAATTTTATAACTAAGAAGGGGAGCACAGCCCTAGGAGTAACAGCTGTTACTAAAATGTGTGATCGTCCACAGTTCCTCGCTAAAATATCATCAGCAAGACATCGAACCTTAAATTACTCACCTAGGGAGTAGCTAAGGATCCATTGGATTCATGCGAAATTACACATCTGTGTAATGTCCCTAGGTCGAGGAACATAATACTATTCAAAAGCCTACGTCTCACGAACATGTGAAATGTTACCACAGACAAACTGTTCCTTCATTATTAGGTACTGAACAGCTAAAAAGTTCAGTCGAAAGTGAGGTGCTTGTTATAATACGATATTATGGAGGTGTGAGTAGAAAAACCCCAGGTGGTAGAAAAACGGAACATTTTTAGAGTCCTTTATCCTACGATTTTTCTGACAGCTTTTACCGGCTTCTGTATCTTTTTTGTTTTTGACAACTGTAGATTCAGATTATAAACTGGTGTTAATCTTTAGTAAACGTCATGATACTGGGTCTGTACTCATATAAATTTGTAAATCTTGACTTGACCTTTCAATCTAAAAAATTCCAAGGATGCAAGGAGTTTCCTTTTCCAAATAAGTTCCCTGATTTAATATAGTACGTATTGTATTATCTTTATTAAAGAGCTGGCACCAAATATTTAAAGCAATGCTATGTTCAATATTCACGGCAGCGAAAATTAGTAATGACCAATTAACATTTACGTATAAATGACGAAAATAGTCATTGTGCGAATTCACAATCCTCAATTCGTGTCTGAGAGTGAACTTTTCATGTTGTTGCTAGTTGATAAAGCCGTACATGAGTACATTGTAACATTGTTCAACTGATTCGGGTACCCGTTACACAGTGCGGTCGAACGTAGTCAAGCCTGGCTTTATTCTATTTTCAAATTTGTTGTCGTTGTTTTCAAGTGTTATTCTTTGCTTTAAAATTAAATGAAATGCGGACTTCACTTGAATTGATTCAGCTTTACCACCAAATAGAATAACAAACTACTGTACTACCCACAATCAGTTCATCAATTAACTAAATTAATCTTATAATTGAATTACCTTGTAATTCAGAACAACATGTAATTCAGAACAGCATGGAACTTGTACGTTCCCTATTAATGTATCTGAACAATGTGCATTGTCAACACTACACGTAGATCTTAAAGATCTATAATCTATTCTTCTACGCTCAACTGTTTCTTAGTTTCTATGCCGTTTGTGTGTCTATGTTAGTGTTTGAGGTTTCAAATTTTTTTAATTTCTAGTCAATTCGGTCACGGTTGTTAGTGACATGCTATTTTTACTGGTGTCTGGTATTCAGTATTCACGTGTAGAAATTGTACAGGAAATGAATTGGTCCAATATTAATTGCTTATAGTAATCACCTAAAATCACCTAATTTGTCCAATTTAAGGGAGGGGCGCCAAAAGGGGAGGGGGCGCCAACAGGCAACGTTACGCCACTGTACTAAGTTACTAGACAATTCACTCCTACAATCTTTGAAGGGGGGGGGGGGGGATCATACACATAGTACCGTACGTGACGTTGGGGGGGGGGGGGTGGGTCATTTTTTCTTCCAAAACACAGTTCGTACATGGTACATTTCCCAGAAAAACAGTTAGTACATGGTACTAAGGGGGGTGTCCAACCCCAAAAAAACACATTTTACCTTTTTTGAGTTTCTTTTTGGGGTTTTTTGAATTTTTTTCCTCTTTTTGTAACTTTTTATCTAATTAGACTACATTGAAAACAAAACCATTACTAAATAGTGGTTACAATTTGTCCATTTTCCAATGTTTAATGAGCTGTTTAAAGCAATTTATGGGTGGGTATCTTATTTTATATACCAAGACACTTTAGTACCGTGATTTCTCAACAGTTAGTACCACAACAGTTAGTTTGACAAAATTCCAGAATCACACTTAGTCGACGTCACGTACAGAACTTAGAACCTGACCCCCCCCCCCCCCCCCCCCCCCCCCCCCCCCCCCCCCCCCCCGACTATCTTTGCACAATGCACATACAAAAGCACTTAGCCAAGTTCACAGTATCATTAACATTTGAATTGAACTATTAGCTCATATTTCTCATGTTCCGTATAGAATTGGAGAAGTCACTGAATCTACTAATATTATTATGTACTTGCGGGAAATTGGTAGATCACCGACCGGCTATAAGCCGGTTATAAGCCGGCTATAAACCGGCTTATAGCCGGCTACAATTTTTATAGCCGGCTATAAGCCGGCTTATAGCCGGTTAGTAGCCGCTTACATTTGTTGTTGAGCGACGGCTATTAGCCGGTTATAAGCCGGCTATTAGCCGTTTAGGTATCGGCTATAAGAAATTCAGTGAAAACGGCTATTAGCCGGTTATAAGCCGGCTATTAGCCGTTTGGGTATCGAAAGTGGTTATAAGCCGGTTATAAGCCGGTTATAAGATATTAACTCAACTTCATCGTACTGAACGATAGTCAGGAGCCGGCTATAAGAAATTCAGCGAAAACGGCTATTAGCCGGTTATAAGCCGGCTATTAGCCGTTTAGGTATCGAAAGTGGTTATAAGCCGGATATAAGCCGGCTATAAGATATTAACTTAACTTCATCGTACTGAACTGAGTTAATATCTTATAACCGGCTTATAGCCGGCTTATAACCACTTTCGATACCTAAACGGCTAATAGCCGGCTTATAACCGGCTAATAGCCGTTTTCACTGAATTTCTTATAGCCGGCTCCTGACTATCGTTCAGTACGATGTAGTTGAGTTAATATCTTATAACCGGCTTATAGCCGGCTTATAGCCGGCTCATAACCACTTTTAATACCAAAACGGCTAATAGCAGGCTTATAGCCGGCTAATAGCCGTCGCTCAACAACAAATGTAAGCGGCTACTAACCGGCTATAAGCCGGCTTATAGCCGGCTATAAAAATTGTAGCCGGCTATAAGCCGGCTTATAGCCGGTTAGTAGCCGGCTTATAGCCGGTCGGTGATCTACCAACTGGCCAAATTTTGTTTACTTTTAAGTTATGTAAACCTTCTAACTAATGTAAAGAACTAACGTCACGTAAAGTATCTAAGTAAAGTAACAACAAACCAGGAGTGATGATAGTAGCTAAGTTAAGTAAGTATCTTACTATATATAAAGCGAGACGATATATATATATATATATATATATCTGTGCCATTTTACTGACACCACGGCATCAACTTTAACGCGACTTTCCGCAAAAACCGTAAAAGATATACAACTGAAACTTTTTTGACTGGGTCAAATGCTTTTATGCTTTTCAAATCAGCATGAAAAAATAAAAAATTGGCCAAGGAATAAGAGTTTTAGAGCCCAAAATTTGGACCCCCGAGTGGTGTCAAAAACGCGAATTAAATAGGTAATAATTATTTTAGTCTCTTGAGTCTTGACACCATTTTAGGGTTATACCGCCGAACAACAACAAAAGGAAGCAAGCAGGTTTTCATCGAGGAAGAACAATTTGTTATCGAGGGAATAGGATCTAAAAGTGAAGTCATCGAGGAGTCTGCGTACATGATCCCTCCTGAGGATGAGGTTGAAGTGCAGAGTATACCTATTCCTAGTATCCCTGGTTCCTCCGCTAGATTTGAAAACAACCAGCTGTACTCCCCTCGGCGCCTTAGAGCTCATCTAGCTCCTACTAGAGGCAAGTCAGGAGGTCCACCTAAACATGACAACTCGACAAGAGATCATAACCAGACCTCAAGCAATCACTGCAGTGACAGAACAAAAAAACAACAGAATATCAAGGTTCTAGGAAGCCATGACACGAGGCTTTCATGTGAGACAGCCCCATCACCACTGGGTACTAAACGACCTAGGAAACCATCAAACAAGAAGGAGGACCGGGAAGAAGCCACAACTTCAACAGCCAACGATACCAATGGCCAATGCCGACAACATGAACCAGAAGGAAGTAGTCGATCACAGCCCCCCTCCGAGAAAACCGATCTTGATAAGGATAAGACTCCAGGAATAGATCAAACTGAAAATACAGGAGATTCTATCCCAACTAGCCATGTGGCAACAGTAAATAGCACTCATGGAGAAACCGTATCTGCTAACAACCTAAGCCACAAGGAGCCAGCACAAAAATCACCAAAGGAGAATGCCCAGACCAGCCCAGAAACACCAAGAGGAAGATCACATCCGACCCAGCGGTCGAACCGAAAATGTCTCCTTGTTCACGATGATTTTTTCAACAAATTTGACGGGACCAAATTTAGCAGTCGTTTTGAGATCAGCACATATCGAGCCTTCTCGGTCGACGATATCATTTCGAAAGGAGGCCTCGTATCAAAAGTGCGAAACACAAAACCAGATGTCGTGTTCGTGCATACAGGATTTCAAGACCTATTCTGGCTCAAACTTTCTGCTGACGATCTTTTCGGTAAATATAAACAGATGGTCTACAACATCCTCGAATCGACAACGGCTAAACTCTGCCTATCAGCGATCATCCCAATCCCTGGCTACCCTCGTCTGACCGAGGAGATTGAATCCTTTAATGGCTTGCTGTCAACTTTTGTGAGCAACCTCAGATCAGGACAAAAATACCGAAACCGTGTCTTTACATCGTGTAATCGTAATCTCGGTGGATTCATAAACAAAGGGACAGGAAAAAATGGCGTAGAACTGTTCCTCTCAGAAAGAGGCCAACGGAAAACCTGGCTGAAGTTTCGTGATTCTCTTTATAGAACTGTAGACATGGAGACCAGTCACGGGAATTACGAGGACGAAACTGGATACAAACCGAAAAGGAAGCGCAATGATTAATTCTATACCTGATAGGACTACGAGCCACCAACAAGACCTTATGAGGATCTTGTCGTGGAACATTCATGACGCAATGTCCTTCAAAGAGGGCCCCAAGGCCGATGATGAGGACTTCGTCAAACTTCTCATTGGGTGTAACATATTCTGCCTGCAGGAAACGAAGGCTGAGTTCCACCT